GTCTCCTCTGGCCCCGCTCCAGCAGGTCCCTGGCTCTGCTGTGCTGAGGACTCCAGAGCAAGCAGAACTATAACCAATAACTCAGCGCTGCTTCCCTCAAAGACTGCAGCAGCCCTCAGTGGCCCCAGCCACCCCCAAACCCCAAGCTCAGCACCCCAAATCCCCTACCTGGCAGGAAGCAAGGGGTCAGGCACTGCGGTACCCTTTTGTATAGGCCTGTCCATGTCCTGCTGGAGGGTGGAACCTCATTCCTCCCACACATGCTGGCGAAGCGGAAATTGCCACCAAAGTAGTTGAAGCCAAAGGCATCTGTGAGAGAGGGGAAGAAGGGGAGAAGTTTGTGTGTGCAGCACCCTCCTGGGCTGCCCGTCAGGTCTTGGGCACCACTTACTGTTCCTGTAGAGGAAAAGGGCCGTGTCCTGGTACCCCTGGGAGAAAATGTCGTTCAAAACCTGCAAGGAGAAACAGTTGAGGTCACTAAAGGGCCCTCCAACCAGGCACTGGTGGGACTACCCAAGGCTGTTTGACTGTGGAGCATTGGGGTGGCCCAAGTGGGAAAACAGCAAGCACAGGTTGGTTTCCAAGCACCAAAATGCTGGTCCTGTGCAGCCTGGACCTCACCCCAGGCTGGCCACCACTGCAACGGGTTGCCCAGAGAGGTGGTGGAGGCCCCATCCCTGGGGACATTCAAGGACAGGCTGGATGAGGCTCTGAGCAGCTCAATCTAGTTGGAGATGTCCCTGCTTGTGGCAGGGGGGGTGGACTAGATGATCTTTGGAGGTCCCTTCCAGCTCAGACATCCTATGATTCTATGAATCATCAGCTTCCACCAAAAAAAGCACTGCAAAAGCAGTGGGTACTGCCCCCTCCCAGTGAAACCCAATTCATTAAGGCTGGAGATTGATCTGAACCTTTAAATTTGGGGAGGCAGGACCAGCATGAGTTTGTTTTAACCAACATGAAGCTGGGAAGAAGCCCTGGGTGGGCTTACCATGGTGCTAGGGGGAAAGAGGGCGTAGCTAATCCTGCAGAGGTTCTCTATGGAGATCTGGATGCTGCCGTTGAAGATCTGGAAGCAGAAGAAGATGGCAGGACAGTCCCGTGGGCAGATGTCCAGCTCGCCCGTGAAGGGGGACACGGTGATCACGGCTTCCTCCAGGCTGGAGACGGGCTGCAGGCCAGTGAAACCCCCGTCCACGTAGCGCTGGGGGCAAGAGCAGAGGGAGGTTCTGCTGGGAGGGTGGCTCCAGAGAGCGTGTGAGGGCAACGTCTCCAGGAGGAGAACAGGCAGAGGCAAAGGCAGCTCCTGAACCTTCCAACCAGCCCCAGCATGTCCTCCCTTCCCACTAGCCACAGCGTCTCTTCCCACCCCTTGCTCTTTCTCAGCTCCTTCTGCTGCCCTGCCTGTGCACCCAGCCAGCTCCTCCACTGATTGCTGCAAACCTACAGTGGTTATTAAAACAGAAAGAGAATGGTTTTAATTCACAGAAGGGGAACTCTTTGGATCCACAAAGCTTCAAAGAGTTCTTTGGGCAGCAATCAGCTGGTTCAAACATCACTGAATTTCCAGTGTCGTAGAAATTTCAGGTCCTGAGCTCAAGCAGCAGGGCTCCCACGTGTAATATTTGCCTTCAGATCCCTGGGGAAGACACCCTGGGCAAGGAAAACGTCGTCTGCTGCATTCCAAAAGGAACCTGAATTTACCACCCCCCTCAGTGGGATCTGGGGCTGCTTGGACTGGGGCTGATGGAGTCAAACGTTCCTGCAGTGGCAGGGCAGAGGAGCCCTGCACAGCACAGCCAGCCCTGGGTCCTGCAGACCTGAGCACTCTGTGGGCTCTGCAGAGCAGGGTGAGCTGGAGCTCTGACCTCCCAGCCAGGCACAGGCAGCCAGGGACTGAACAGGCTCCATCCACACAGAGCAGCCAGAGCCCAGGGGAGATCCTGGCTCTGTACTGGCTGCAGAGCTCCAGGCTGGGCAGAGGGGCTGGAAACTGCCCAGTGGAAAAGGACCTGGGGGGTTGGTCACAGCCAGCTGGAGATGAGCCAGGGTGTGCACAGGTGGCCACGAAGGCCACCAGCATCCTGGCCTGGATCAGCTCTAGTGTGGCCAGCAGGAGCAGGGCAGGGATTGTACCCCTGGACTGGGCACTGGGGAGGCTGGACCTCGAATCCTGGGTTCAGTTTTGGGCCCCTCACTCCAAGAAGGACCTTGAGGGGCCTTGAGGGGACAGAGAAGGGCAACAAAGCTGCTGGGGAAGGGTCTAGAGCCCAAGTGTGGGGAGGCGCAGCTGAGGGAGCTGGGGGGGCTGAGCCGG